CTCTATTGAAAAAATAAATTTTTACTTTCCTGAGAACCGAGTGATTCCAGCCTGTTTTTAAACCACTTTTCATGCTGATCTGCCTTCTACCATTGGAGGAACGCTTCTCGCATTTGAGGAACATCAGAAAAGATTCTCGTTAAATGCTCTAGGAACACTGAAAAGCCTGTTCTGTGTGTTTAATGGGACATTCTGAGGGTGTTTTGTTCTGGTTTGGGGGCTGAGGGAGGCACCCCATGGAAGGGCTGGTTCACCCTGACAGCTCTGTCAGGAGTCGGACCCGGTTCTCCCTTGAGGCTGCCCGCAAGGCTCTGAGGGGGCTTTTCGGGCAAAAAAACCAAAAAACAATAAAAGAAAAAAACCAATCAAATAACAAAAAAAAAACAACAAAAAAAGCAAAAACCGACAGAAAAAAAACCACACAGAAAGCGATCGCTAAAAACGAACTTGCCAAACACAATTGGGCGAGCAGACAAGACACCTGCAAGGCTTCGCCGGCACATCCCCACCTGTTCGCCGATCCTGAGGCGAGAGCGAGGGCGGGAACGCGGCCCCTCACGGCTTCCCGCCCTTTTTAAAACTTCTGAGGGCGGGAGGCCGTGAGGGGGCGGTGTTCCCGCTCTTTTTTAAGGTTTCTGGGGCCACGGGAGCCCCCCCGCTTCGGGATTTCCTGCCCTTTGTAAAGTTTCTGAGGGTGAAAGTTGTGGGGTAAGGTCTTTTTTACCCTTTTTTTTGAGCCTTTGTAGTCCCGTTCCTCAGGGCTGCTGGGCTGCGAGGGAGTGACTGAGAGCCGGCCCCTCAGGGCTGTGGAGAGGGACTGGTGTTCTCCCGGCAGGTTAGTGGTGTTTTCTTGGCTATGAACTCCGTATGGCTGGGAAGAGCTGTCTCCCTTCTCTGTCTCAGGAAAGTAAAAATTTATTTTTTCAATAGAGTAGCGCTCTGAGGGGCTGTTTAAGGCCGGTCCGTGCCGCCTTCCCTTGCGGCTGCCTTGCTTTTGGCTGTGGCGTTGCGTGAGGTGCGAGGTCATTCCTTTCCTTCTGATGGTGGTTTTATTTATTTAGTTATGAACTTTTACATTACTATTTGTATCTATACACACTTTATATTTGTGTATATGTATATTTGTCAGCCTGTGAGGCTGGAGCAAAGACCCTGCTGAGCACTTTCAGGCAGGTGAGGGTTAACACTCCTTGTTGACCTGATGTGTGAGGGATGATGATTGTTTCCCTTATCTTATATACTTAATAAACCAACCAGCAGGGTGCTAATAAAAGAAATAGGTATTACTGAAGCTTTTTTTCTCTCACAGAAGAAAACAAGTCCATGATTTTAGTTTGATCAGACCCCACCATTGCCTTGAGGGAGTGGGGTGGGTTTAAAGTAGCTATTGAAATTATTGCTGCGAAATGAAATTTGTTTAAAAAAGCAGCAGCCCCATGGCTTTACAAAAGCGTTTTGTTAAAACAGTGCTGTTTCAGGTTGTTATTTGAGCTCTGGGCGCTGCTTTATTGAAGATATCTACTTAAAATATTACAGATATGAAATGGAAAACTGCCTCACCTTTTATTATTGGATGTTTGAACAACAAATAGTGGCCACTAGAAAGTAAAAGATTTGCTTGCCGCATTGCTAAATGTGTATTATTTTTGTAGCATGGAGAGCTCTTACACAGCAGTACGATGTTATTTTTCTACCTTTGGAATTTTGTTTTTGTTACTATTCCTTTTGGTGATTAGAATTAGGCAGAGAAAAGTGTGTGTGTATTTTGTTTGAGTTTTCCTGTTTGTTAGTTTTGAAAGGGGGCCCAAATATGTGAATTGCTGGTACTTTCTCCCTGAAACTGCCTTAGCAAAGCAATCTTTGCCTGGAAATGAACACTTGTTGTTGCTGGCAGCCTTCCAGGGTGAAGTCTGTGGTAGTCCTTGACCCTGCCAGGGTTCAAGTAGCAGCATCAGCCAAAGAGGTGTCAGAAAGGCCATCTCAATTTATTGTATTATTTTGTTATTTGTAGAATGATTTCCATTGTACAAAAACAAATTACACACAGTAGATATAAGCATTTTATTTGCTGACATCTATTCATCTGAATAAAAAGAAATCATGTTAGGAGGAGAGATGAGGAGAGTTGCTTGAAAGTAGAAAGTGTAGGTTGAGAAGAAGCATCAAATGGTGTTTAAGTAACTTCCATACCCAAAATGAATAGTAATCTTGTATTAAATAGCATTAATGACTTCAAAATGGAAAGTTTCAAACATTAGCACCATATGTGTATGTGTGGATGGATCCTATGGCATCAACCAGAAGACTTTCAATGTTAATTCTTTTATTACATTGATTTTATAGAGTTATGTTCCTTTAAGGGCTTAGGGAAGCTGCCAATAATTGACATGACTTGTGTTTTATTATGATTAGATCAAGCTTTTAGTATAAAGCTCAGTGAATATTGCCAGCATATTTGGCTTCTATGATAGATTAGTATCCTTCAGTTTTTCCATATGCCTTTGTCTGTTGCAGCTTTTTTAACAAATGGGCTCAATTAGTGCTAATGAAAGTGAGACAAGCAGGAATGGTTAATTCTTTGTTAGAAATATTTGTTTTGTTTAAGTGGAAATGTGAATCTGTGTGAAAGGTAATTGTAGATATTTTGTCATTTCAGAGTGCCTGTTTTCAAACAGCTTGCTTGGCTTTTTGGGAACATCCTGCTTTATGCCAATTCAAGCCATCTTTTACAGCCTCTGCTGGCCTGCAGCTGTAAAAAAATAAGAGGACAAAAAGTAGTGAGTTTGTCCCATAAAATTCAGAATAGCTGAGGTTTGACCCTCATGCTTTACTAAAAGGGTGTCCTCTATTTCCTTGCCTTACTCGTATTGTGATTTTGAGTGTGATTTAATGTGATTTAATGGCAGTAAATCCACAGTGTTACTGTAGATCTTCTCTGCTGGATGCCAGCTTCACCATTTTCAGGTAAGTGCTTGGAAGGAGAGCTTTGTTTTTGTTTTTTCATTGCTCAGTTCCAAAGATAATACAAGGTAACATAAAAATGTTGCTGTGGTCAGCTACTGTTACTGGTGTTACAGTGTTATTTCTGTGTCAAGGAGCATTTCCATGTATACTGTACGTATGTGTAAGAGATAGGGATAGACAACCAAGATACTTGAAATTTTATGTTCTTACAGTTTTTCAAACACTTAAATAGTTCCTACAGCCGTGTTTTACTTCTCTGTAAGCTGCTTGGGACTTGCTGGAAATGGCAGGCTCCAAGCAGGGCCACCAGGTTAGAGGCTTGTTCACAGCTCATTCAGCAGTTACTGGGTTGGTTCTTCCCTTGATGGAGGTGCCAGAATTGGGGGCCCAAATGAGGTATTTAACTACAGGGTGTGAGTATGAAACCTTTTTGTGGCATGCCAGATTTCATGGTATTGGCTGTGTGATGGAATATGGTCAACCTATGGTGCTTGGAAGGATTTGTCTCGTGGTTGACAGTGGCTCTCAGAAAGAGAATATGCATTAATAAGACTTTTTAGTCTTTCTAAAAGGATAGCCTTAATGAATACTGGTAAATCAATTTAGAATTATTCAGATACATTAAAGCAAACCCAGACCTCTCTGGTTTGTCTGTGACAGAAATGGAGACTGGTGAGTCAGTAAGGGAAATCAGCTCATTTTCTTCATGTGATGTGTTTTAGCAGAACCACATTACATCATCCTGATTTGTGATGGGTGATTTCTAAGTCTGAAGTAGACCATGAGGAGTATAAAATCCTTCATGGTTACAATTTTGTTCTGCACTGATGCTCAGTAAAGCTTAATATTCATTGCAGTTCCTCCCTGAAAAGGATGCGAGTTGTGTTGCTGGTTTAGCACCATTTTCCAGCTGAAGTTTTAGACAGAAGGGTGATAATGTCTGTGCATGCTACGAAATTGATGCTGTGCTGCAGAACTTGTTTTGGCAACATCCAATAAGGGTGAATTTCTATCTGCTTTAATTCTCCTAAGTTAAAGGGGAGAAGACAGAAAAAGTTAAACATTAAGGTAGTGTTAATTTTGTACTTCTAAACCAGTAGATAAGCTTTTTCAGATTGATACTTGGAAAAGAAATTGCTTTAGTGGAAGAGTTCTATATTGAGTAAATACAAAAAAAAAAATATAATCTGTTTGCTAAGAGAATAAATTATATGACAGAAATGAAATCAGTTCCTAGTATTTCTCTTCTGTCTGATGGATGTCTGACAGGACCTATATTCTGTCTTGCCCCTGACTAAAGCACAAAATGAAATATTTTCTTGTCTTTCATGGCAAATATGTATTCTTGGTTGCTTGTTATTTTATTACCTTACCTGAGCTGTGCTGGCTTTGCTGCCTTTTCCCTGCAGCCCCATCTTTGCACAGCTCAGCTGAGCGGTTTTGGCTGAGCCAGGAAGGAAAAGGAAGCAGAGACTCTAAACCTTTATCTCATATAACTACAATGGGGAGTGTCCTTGCTGTCCCACTGAGGTCTCTGTGTTGCATGGAAAGGATGGGTACAGATCCTAAAACCACATTGCCACACTTCAATCCCATTCAGAATGGGCTCTCCTCAGAGATAGCAAGTATCCAAGGTCTAAATTCATATCAACGTGGTAGTCTCTATTATGTCTTATATTTACCTGGGAATATGAAAGAGTTGCGTAAAATGAAAACATTAAAAAAAAAACCCAATTGGTTCATCTATTCTTGTCTGCACTGTGGGGCTAGCTGGTAACACTGTAATTATCTCATGCATGAAAATCCTGCTTTCAGGTCATTACACTTCTTCAGGCCTGGTATAGTACACAAGACTATCACGATTAAATGACGGGACTAGATTAAATGTGAAATGCCAACTTGTAAAGGAATTGGCTGGCTCTATCCAGGGGCATTATTTTATTAATCTGAAAGCATAATAAACCTTGAACTTCTACAGTACAAATGCATCTGCATAATTGCTTACTGCTGTTGGGTATTTTTCTTCAACAAAGGCAATAATTCTAGAATGCTTAAACTGAGCTTTTTCATGGTTAAAAGGAAGGTTGGACTAAGGTTTGGCATGGTCTTAGTCCTGTTTTGATCTCAGGTCTAAAATGTACTGTTTCTCATAGGAATAATAGGCAAATTTTAAATATACTTCAAGGACTGTATTATTCATATATTCTTTGTTTAGTTCTTTCCCTTATTTTATTTATTTTATTATTTATTTATTTCTTATTATTAGCTTTTGATTCAGTTCTGTACTGTTTTTTCTGTTAGAACTGCCATTTTTTATTAAACCTAGGTATCTTTCCATTAGTCTCACAGATGTGCTAAGGCTTAATGATACAAATATGTATGATTTCTCTTTAACTTGGTTGCTATTATAATGTGACAGGGGCAAAATCCCAGTGTTTTGGTTCTAAATGAATACTTATCTATGCCTTTTCCTCTGATAGATTTATTACTGAGGGACACTCTTGAAAGATGAAGATTGGTGCTTTGGTAGTACATCCAGAGACATCTCCTCCTTGCAATTTGCTCTCTTCTGCCCTGTGCTGCAGATTTCTATTCCTCTGTTCCGTGTAGGTTTGAAACTGTTGCTATTCAGATGTTGCCTCCACACATGGCATTCAAACTGAAGCTTCTGAGTGTCAAACTGTTAAATCCTGTTCAGAGAAGCTGTCTGACAGCGCTTGCTCATCGGTGGTTGATGAACATTGCTCTTACAGGCTCTGTTTAAAAAACCCTCAGCCCTTACTGCAGTTTTTCTTTTCCCACTCGTGATTCAACAGAGTAGAATGTCACTTGTTGATAATGGCATAGATCAGTTGTCAAACTCCAAGGCTGAATTAGCAGAAATATTAAAATTCTCTAGGTTTGGGGTTTTTTTGGTGGCAAGGATTTGAGGTGAGAAGCTGCCAGCTCCTGTCATTACCAAAGTCTCAAATTTGCACTTCTTTTTTGAGTGCAACGGGATGTTTTAGCTTGTTAACAAAGTCTCTTTGACTTGGCAGATGACAGGTGGCTTCTCCAACACAAGTCTTCATAAAAAAGTTAGGGGCTTTTTTTTTCCACAGATGTTAATTGAATACAAAAGTCCTAAAAGCAGCATTTCTGTGAAATTTTCAGGGACATTGATCTGAGGTTAGTGTTACAGTGAGGAGATGAAAATCTTTGAATTTCCACTTACAGGAACTGCAAAGTAGTACAAAACATGGGACTCAAACATTAAATGAGATCAAGGGAGATTTACATCCCTGTTGCACATACTAAATTTGTGTTTTGTGCATTTGGGAAGTGTGGCCTTCTTGCCTTTCTTCTCCCTCAGCAGTGAGCATAATCGTCTTTCTTGTAGATACTCCAACACCCAACCAAAGTAAATATTTAAGAAACAGATGAAAAGAGCAGGCAATTAGCTCCCCTTCTGGTGGCTCTAAGTGCATAAAGCTGCCTAATGCTTTGCTTGCTCCTTCTCCTCACTTTCAGATTCAATTTTTTTGCCTCCTTTGGCTGTGAGCCGCAGATGGTCACAGAGAATAGATGCAAAGCAAACAGATACTGTACAAGGCTGAAATCTTTTGGCACAGGAGTCCCCATCTTGCTGAACAGGAACTGGCAGCTGGCTCTCTCTCCCAGGACTGCAAGTCCCAGCTGGGGTAGGCACAGAGGGAGATGAAGCCAGGTGTTCATGGTCTCTAGCAAAGTGCTCTAAGAACTTTGGGAAATGTGAATAAATCTCTTGTGTGCTGAAGAGAAAACGAGTCAGTGTTTGGGTACAAGAAAACAAGTATGTCTTAGTCCAGGTGGCAGTGATCTTCTGAATCACTGGGATTGCAGATTTCCCTAGAGCTACAGGCATCCTGTTGTTCCTCACAATTCAGCTTTCCCTCTTGTGGGACTGAGGTATGTCCTTGAGTGCACATCACAAATCCTTGTCTTTGGCACCTCGTTTTCTGTGTGTGGAAGAGGAGGATTTGTATACTGACAATGTCATGAGCTAAGCTGCTTTAGCCGAGCCTTAAGTCATAACATGTCAAAATCTGAGTGCTCACATGAGCACAAACATGAGTAAAATGACAAGAGCTGCCTAAGAATGAGCGAGACTTGGTAGTGTGCAACAAATCATTTCTATGCTGATCACTAAAAGTCGTCCTCTAATCCCATTTTGGGAATCATTCACTTAGCATTATTCTCTTCTGTTGTACACAAACCTGCCTCCTATCCAAGGCTGTATTTTCTCCTATGACCTGGTGTGAAGTTGCTGTCTAGGCACTGGTGACCTACTTTTGGGAGAGGCATCAGGGAGGAAGGGAAAGAAATGAGGTGAGCTGTGTTTTCATAGTCCATCTCAGTGACCCAATGCAGTGCAGTCTGTCTGAGTTGCTGTTGGGTGGCTGTGTAGAGCAGCAGCAAGGTTAGCAAGCTTATGCGACTGTGGTGCGGTGCCTCTGCCCCTTGTGATGTGTCGACTTCTCCAGAGTGACAGCAAGTCAGGAGCTGAAAAATTTGGAAATATTTGCCCAGTGTGGTCCAGCTGCCAGGCATCACAGTGTCTTAATGAGCTTGTTGTCCTTCTCAGTTTCTTTGGGACAGTGAGCCAGGCAAACCAGGAATCATATTCCTTATGATGCTTAGGTGTTCATCTCTGCTCAGGTGTAGTTTATATTACAGCAGCAAAAATACTTTTCTGCTTTGCAGCTTCAGAGGTTTGCATCAACAGAGAAAGAGCAACATAATGGGGTTGAGGTTTGCTGCTCATTACACAAGTTCAGAGTTCTGATTTAACAAATGCTTGGCTTTTACCAGGTGCTTGGAAAAGTGATGGGCAAGAGGCTTCAGCATTTCCTGCTTCAGCAAAGATTTGATTCTTAATCTTAATTTGAGAAATTCTCCTTTAAATCAAGTCCACTTCTATTTTTCTTTTCCTCGGTCTCCCTCAACCATGGTTTTGTACCTTGTGTCCAGTTCATAGCATTAAGTCAGAGGTCAAGGTCTCCTTTTAGTGTGTGTCCATATAATACAGAGAAAAGCTGACATCTTGTTAATAGCTTTTAGTTGCTGTTACAGGGACACCCTGATAAATACCATCCAGGTCAGCACAGTGTCTGTTTGAATGTATTCTGTAAAGCAGTTGTTATTATATAGAAGTTAATTAGTACTAATTAGTTTCTCTGTTGACAGAGTTGTAAAGAAGCCAAGTAATTTTTTTTCCTTTTTTAGTGGTGTCCTTTGCTGTGATAAAGCCATGTTGGTACATTTGCACTTCTTAATTTTATTCTCCAGGACTTTCACCAATGCACAAAGTACTAAAAGCTTTTCTAGAAGTAACTATCAAGCAAAAAAATGAATAATTTACCATATTAGACAATTATCCTGCCAAAGAGCTCTGTGTGACCAGACACCATGCTTGGCATGAGGAGTATATCCACTCTGTAAGAAATCCTTTTGGGTGTTCCCTTCAACACCAGCAAAATAAGAATGATTGAATACAACTGTACTCAATATTAAAACTTATTTTGGACCACGATCATATGAAAATAGGAAAAAAGCTATCTGGAAACTTTAGTTATTCATAAATCCAATTCACTAATATAAAAGGTGTAGTTTAACTTTCATGACACTGAAACTACAGCTGTTTTCTCTCTAGTGTTACATGAGCAGCTTGTGTAGTTGTCTGTTACTTGGTAATGCTTGCATTCCTGAATCCAGAAGATGTTTGGTAACTGAAGGAGCCAAATGCAGCTTAAATTGCTGGTATTGTTTTGCTGGACTGTAAAATTGCAGGATAAGAAATATTTGGGCAAGTGGAGCCTGGTGCTGTTTAGTGTTTGTTTTTGCTTGCATAAACCATCCTCCTTTTCAGAGAGTAGACTGATGAACTTTGCAGTATGTGTGCAATTTTAAAATATTTGTTTTCGGTGACAAATAATTCTCTCTAGATTTTGTTTCCTGCATGTACCCATTTGCATTTTAAAAAAAAAAATTATGGATGTTTTTTTCCTTTGTGCAACATGGAAGTCTACATCTTTCACTATAATAAAGTGCTGTACTTGAGGTGAGTGGGAAAGGTTAAGAAAAATCATGAAGGGTGTTAGTTTGAAGTTACTTGAAGGCTGTCAAGAAATCAGTTTGGTCTCTAGAGCAATCATGCTCACTCTCAAGATAATACCATTTTATAAATATTCTACTTGCTTATATTCCTTCCAGTGTTGAAACAAGTCATTTCTATGCTCAGCCAAGCTGTAGGTCCTAACACAGATTTCCTCTTAACGTGGATTTGCTTCACGTTGTCTGGATGATGCGGTGAGTTCTTGAAGCCAGTCTGAAAGGCAAAAGCCTGGGTTTAAACAACACTGATTTGTCAGGGACTGGTGGAAATGAGTTTGCCAAGGCTGTATCAAGTGTAAGAATGCCAGACAGATTTCAACTTCTTTGCAGTTTAAATCTAGTTCAGCTGGACTGTCTCTTGGTTTGGTGTGTTGAGTGCATCTCGCCTCTTTCTAATCTCAGTTTAAATGGCAGATAAAATTTCTGCTGTTGGTGACTACAGTCAGTGTGGTTTTGGTTATTTATGCAGCTTCAATTACAGAGCTTGTGTACAGTTTTAGATTTTAGGGGTTGACATCCGTGTGTACAATTGCAGTCGCACTGATGATGCAGTTAGTAAATATTTGCTGTAGTCCCTGTGACTTGAAGCCATTTCTGTAAGAAAACAGTGAGTACTTGTTCTTTGTAGTTTACAGTCATGGAGCAAAATTGATTTAATTGTTTTCTCCACCAATTTGTTTCCTTTGTGTTTTCTAGCTTCTCCCAGTTTAAGGTGAGCTTGTTTAGCTTTTGAAATGAAAATTTTTAGGTTTTTTTCATGCTTTTTCTTGCTTAAATGCAAAAGGAGCAGCCCTAGATGTGTAGAAACTGGATATATAAGGAAGGTTGTAATATTTAAGTGTCCAAGTTTCTGATTGAGACTAAATGGTTTTTTTGATTAGTTGCCTAACTAGTTGGTTTTGCCACCTGAGAAGAAACTGGGAGATAATTTTGTTTGCTTTTTCATGCAATTATCGAATATGATGTATCCTGAACTATTTCCAATATTTTTGTAGGTTATTAGTTTCAGGAACAGTGGATATAGTAGTTGAGCAGCATTCTTAAATAATATCAAGGTAGTTTCTTTTATGATGAATGAAAAAAGGGACATTTCCATTTATTCCCATTTTGTTGACCTGCTGCCTGGAAGAAAAGCACAGAGAGAGGGCTTTTAGCTTGTCACCCTGCTAATATTTAGTAATGTAACAACATAAACCTTTTTTATTTGATGGCTGATGTCTGCTGCCATCGATTCAATCACCACCTGTGGCTGACTGGAAGGAAAGAAATTTTTGTGTCTTTTCCTTTTAGACAGACAGATATGAGGAGAGGAGGAGTGGGGCTGGATTATTGTTTCTTAGCTACATCTGTGGTGGTGAGCTCTGACTAAATGCTGAATGCCTTGAGTTAGGATGAGGGAGGGATTTGTTCCCTTCCCTTTTGTTTTTCTCAGGATTGAAGGACTTGCTGTGCTCTGATGCTGGCTCTTGATACTGCCAGGGCTAAGAGAAGAGAAATGGGGATTGAGTGAGGGAAGTTTTGATTTGGAATAAGTTACCAACAGATCCTGAACCCCCAAAACATAAGGTACACGTTCAGCTGATTTTTTGGTACCATCTTAAATTGCAACAAGCAATCAGCGAATAACGAAGGAAGCTGGCACTGAGCTTTACGTTCCATGGCATGACAGTAATCCTTCATGGGAAACACAGGAGATTGCAGAAATTGTGTGATGCATCTCTGCACAAGCTCCTGTTTTCTTTGCATGATGGCTGCTGTGGAAAATGCCAAGTTTTAAACTTCCTTGTTACACTCATGGCTGAGGTTTGTAAGAAGTAATCATGGCTGTGTACATCTCTCTATGTGCTGTAAACTTTGGAGCTGTATCTTTTTCAATGCTTACCTGCTAATGATAAGAAAAGAGAAGCTTGTTTTTCCAAGTAGAATTGTTTTATAGCAGATTAGCCTGTTAAAAATTCAGTAACGTGGCATCATTAGTTTTAATTATTTGAGATGCCATAATTAATCACTCAAGTATCCATGTATATTAACAGTGTCTTTTTAATATCCTGCCTTTGTAGGTGTGAGAGTTGTGTCTTCTGACAGGGATAAAAACAGGGAACAATTTTGTTTGCTGTTATTTAGCACGACAGGCCTCTTAGCTTGTCAGTTGACCAGCACTAAAAGTCCTGGAATGTATTCCATGTTTTCTTAGAAGTCTATATTATACAGTATATACTATATATTTATTCTTCTATAATAGAAGTGCTTAAAAAAACCCTGAAGGCAAGAAGAATAGAAGAAATTGATTTTGTCTTGTCCAGTTATTTGGGTAGGTAAGTTAATGCATTGTGGTGTAGCCCCTGTTTAATAAACCACCTTTTATTACTGTGGTAAATGTCATTTTACATGAGTTTTAACCTCTTCCTTCTACTGAGCAAGTCCCAGTGTTGAGTGGTAGAGCTCTTTCCTTCAGAGCCAGCTGGTGCCTCAGGACCAGAGCACATTACCCAGGCACTGTGAATGCTTGAGCAGGAGAAGTTATCCTACTTGCTGGGCCTCCTGAGCCTTGAAATCCTTACATCTGTAGATTTCTGTGCTTGTCAGTCTCCTTGGATGTGGAGAATTATGTGGGGAGGTGTAAGTTTCTTTGGAGATAAGAAAAGCTGAGAATGTAGTGCCTTCTCCCCTACAGAGAAGAGTTGTTTTCCTGTAGCTGAAGTTATGAGGTCTCGCTCCTTAATAAGGATTTTGTAGGGCAAAAAAAGAGTGAATATTCTAGCAGAGGTGACTTTTGAGCTGTAGACTGTCAGTGTCTCTACATCTGATAAGCTAAAGAATTTAAAGATGAATTCCCCCTTCCTTTATAGAATGGAGATCTGAGTCTTCTCATTGGTGTCCTTCTACCATTTTACATTGCAGATGCATTTTGGTTCTGAATGTTTGCTGAAATTTTATCAATGCCTTATATTGTGTGAAAAATGAAGTTGTTGTGTGTTTTCTTTGCATAAGGAAATGCTTTGGATGATATCTTTTCAGTGTGTTTAAGAGAAGAAGCAAAGTTGCATTAAAATGAACTTCATACCTTCAAGTTACTGCATCATTCAGAATTTCTATTTTGGCCAACCTTTGTTTCTTTCAAGGAAATTTTTTACTGCTATGGTTAAAGTGTGAGAAATGCAGTGTAGAAACATCCCAGAAGGTTTTCAATGACTTTCATCTGTAAAACTGAACAGGTAAAAGCTGGTAAAATGCACATTTCAAATGGTTCTAGGAGTAATGTACTTCATCTTGAGAAAAATAATTTATTTTGGTATGAAGCCTGTATTGTAGCCGTGAGGTGCAGAGTGTTAGCAGCAAACTTGGTGGCTCCCCTTAGCAAGACCCATAGAATTGCATCAGGTGACCTATTGAGATAAAGTCAACCTACACTCAAGTTGTTGATTATTTCTAAGTGGAGAAAATGTAGGGTTTCTTTGTCTCTAAAAGACTGGAAAAGAGCTTCTGTCATTGCCAGCACTACCAAGGACATGTCATTGTTCAATTGGTGTCTTTTTCAGCTTTGAACAGGGCTCTTTGAAAGTGATTGACGCCTGCCAATGAAGTCCTTGGCTCCCGAGCTTGTAACATCACTGGTAATTTAATTACATGGACAGGTAAGAGCTTGCTTGGAGAAATATGAAGATGGACAGGAATGTGATTTTTGTCACATCACATTTTTTCTTTCTCTAATTCATCTCAAGTTGTTATCACAAGCCCTGTCTTGACATGGACTACTTAGAGTAATTGCCTGAATTTGCCTGCTTCATAGCTTTATTTTAAGGCAGTTTGGATTACTGAGTTTTTGGGTGGTTTTCAAGATGGTGAGCTACTTTGCAGAAGTGTCTTTCAGGAAGTATGTGCCAAAACAATTAGTCCATTATTTCTGCTTCCAATCCAATGTTGTCAAGGTCTTGCAGATTTGAGGAACTAAACTTGAACTTAATAAGCTTGTGTACCGTTTCTAGGAGGAGATCAAGTGAATGAAATGGCTTGAGACAAGCTCATAGCTTCAAGACAGGTGAAATCCTGTCTGTCAGACATTAAACATCAGGTTAGCCTTTGGAGGGACCCATTCCTGGTTTATCCCGAAGGGCTGTGGCCCATGAGGAAGATCCCTGCTGAAGTACAGGGGAAATACGAGGAAGGAACAAGAGGAAAGACACTTTTTTGGTTAAACACATCCCCCCATTCCTCATGCCCTCTGTGCCACTCGGCTGTGGGAGGAGGAGGTAAAGAAATAGGGAATGAAGGATTGGTGTTTGCTCTGGAAAGAAGGGATGGTGGCTGGGGAAGTTATTTTCACTTTTTTCTTTTAGTTTTTTTCCTCATCATCCCTGTTTATTTTTAACTGGTGTTACATTAAACTAATTTATCCTTAGATCTGTTTTGCCTGTGATAATAAGTGGAAAATAATCACCCTGTCTTTATCTTGACTCAAGGGCTTTTTCATCTTACCAGCCTGTTGTGTTGTGGAGAGAGAGTGGCTGGCTGGGTGTGGGGTCCTCACATCTGGACAACATCAACTTGCCACAACTATTTGATGATGAGATGAAGGAATAGATATATATATATTTTTTAGGTGTTAGTCCTTAAATTTGGTGTAAACCTGCTTGGTAGGATTAGTGTCCCAGTCATAACTTCTTTCATTGTTTCTCCTAAAGGAGTAGCTTTGAAGGGTGAGAAAAATCCCACCTTGCCCAAGCAGACAAGTGTAATTGGAAACACAGGTGGTATTTCCTGTTCTCTGCAGCAAGAGAACTTTGTCTCCCCACAGATTTACAGCCCCATGACAATCATTTAATCACATTTATCTAAAATCATAATTGCCATTTCTTCAGTTACTCTGAAGCAGGAACTGGTTATTGTGCGACACAAGCGGTACGGATGGTGAAGTTTGCATCCAAGCAAATTTTAGATATTTATGGGGCTTAAGCACAGTGAGAGACTTTTTTTTTTAAGATGAATGATTTTTGTAATCAGCTAATTGTCGTTTGTTTTTCTGAAGAGCAATCAAATGTATTCCGTAGCTGTGTTTATTTTTGGACCGGTCCACCTTTCTCAAATCGCGTACCGCACAGCGTGTGCTGTACAGGAAATTGCACATGAGGAGCTGCAGACACTGAAGAGAAGATGTGGGTTTCTTTTTGTAGTCAAGGCCCCCATAGTGAGATTGCTTTTCTTCATTTTATACAGCTTGAGCATGGTTGTGAAACACAACGGAATGAGGCAGTAAATGGGCGATGAGCTGTTTTGCTGACGTGCCAGTACTAAAAAGACCACTCCTCTTCCCTAGTTCAGGATAATACTGGAGGTTTTCTGAGCAATTACTTGATTCAAACATTCATTGCTTATGAATGGCATTTGCTTCAGAAAACTGCATAGAGATCTAATGAAATGGTAATAAAATAATTCATGCATACCACATAATATAAATTATTGTGCAGCACAATCATTCAGTTTTTGACAAAAAAATAGAAGAATAGTTCCTATTTAAAATACCGTTATTTCTATGAACACAGAAGGTGCTTTTGAGCATTTTCTCTGACAGAAAGCAGATTTTAATAATTAGCTCAGAAACTGAAGCTAATATTTTTAAAGTGTTGTGCAAAAGAAAAAAAATCACATTAGCAGTGCACATTTCATTATAAAAACACACTATAAGCAGTTCATGCTCTTAAAATGTAAAATAGGAAGTGGCCTATATTATGAAGTTCTTCACAGCTCTAGACAGAGTAAAAGGATTAATATTTATGCAAAGTCTTAATCCCGTGAAAAGTTGTATCTTGATTGCTCTGTGCGACAACAATTGCGCTTTCCCTTTTCCTCCCAGATGCAGAGAAATGCCCTGTGCAGCACAGAAAGCTGTCACACCATGGGTGGAATAGGGTGCTGCAAATCCGTGCTTATGTCAGTGGCAGGGCTAAGCTGCACAAACATGTGCTCTCCTGTCACACGTTCTCCTTGGCAGACGCAGTGCAAAAGCTTTCCGCTTGCATTAAGAGCAAGAAAGGCAGAAGTGGGTACTCCGGAGCTCGAAGAAGGTAATGGCAAGAGGCGAGCCTCCTTCGGCAGAAGCTGCTTTCCGGAGCTCTTGGCATCAGGCCAACGAACAATGTGTGTCTGTGGGATATTGTCGGTCTGTGTCCGGGCGGTGGAAACCGCGAGCGTTGCGGGCAGGCGAATAAGGAAAGTGTTTAGCAGGTAGATGGCGCTCGAAACTTTCAGACTGCAAGAGGAACGCAGCTGCCGCTCGCACGCTTGCTGAGTAGTGTGGAAGAAGTACGTCCACGACTTCTTTCTGCTGCTCCCTACCGCTGTTGCTGCTCTGTGCGACAACAATTACGCTTTCCCTTGTACTCCGAGACGCAGAGAAATGCCCTGCGCAGCGCAGAAGCCTGTCACACCATGGGTGGAATAGGGTGCTGCAAATCCGTGCTTGCGTTAGTGGCAGGGCTAAGCTGCACAAACATGCATTGTCGTGTGTTGAGGGTTAGGTGTCCTTTTTTTGTTTTGTCCTTCTGGCCTGCCCGGGGAATTTTTACCCATTATGTGCTGGGACAACCTAACTACCAGTACTTAGGGGTGCTCACAACGGACAATGAGTGGCCGGGCCCAGGGTGGGGAAGGGGGCAGAAAAGGAGGGTGGGGACAGTTTTTGGGCTGGTTCTTTTTCGGTTTTTCGGAGAAGGACGTTGGTGTGCTGCGTCGCGGAGCTGCTGCGGTGGAGAGAAGGGAATTTTGCCATCACCCAGACGGAGCGGCTGCTTCTTCTCCTTCTCCCCTCTTTGTTGGTGGCCTTGCACCCCTTGTCCTGCCGGGACGTGTGGCAGTGCCAGCCACCGCCACAGAGCTGCTGATACACCTCATCCACCAGCCCAGGATCTCAGCTCATCCCTGCTGTTCCAGCTGACTGTTCCTCGGAGCCCTGCAGGAGCACCGGGACTGACTGCCCGAGGGGTTTGTGAAACAAAGCCTCTCCTCCATCCCATCTCAGCCGAGAAAGCTGTCACGGGGTCCCTGTTTCTGTTTTCTTGTTATTGCTGTAATTATTGTTTGTTTGTTTGCCTGGTTATACTAGTAAAGAATTGTTATTCCTCTCCCCAAATCTCTGCCTGAAAGCCCCCTTGATTTCAAATTTACAATAATTCGGAGGGAGGAGGTCTACATTCTTTCATCCCAAGGGAGGCTCCTGCTCTCCCTAGCGGACACCTGTCTTCTAGAACCAAGACATCGTGTCACACGTTCTCCTCGGCAGACGCAGTGCAAAAGCTTTCCGCTTGCATTAAGAGCAAGAAAGGCAGAAGTGGGTACTCGGCAGCTCGGAGAAAGTATTGGCAAGAGGCGACCCTCCTTCAGCAGACGCTGCTTTCCAGAGCTCTTGGCATCAGGCCAACGAACAATGTGTGTCTGTGGGAGAGTGCCGGTCTGTGTCCAGGCGGTGGAAAGCACGAGCACTGCAGGCAGGCGAATAAGGAAAGTGTTTAGCAGGCATCTGGCACACGAAACTTTCAGACTGCAAGTGGAACATAGCTTCCGCTCGACCGCTTGCTGAGTAGTCGCTAGTTGTCTTGTGGAAGAAGTACAGCCACGACATCCTTCTGCTGCTCCCTACTGCTGTTGCCGCTCTCTGTGGCAGCAATTGCGCTTTCCTTTGGACTCCGAGACGCAGAGAAATGCCCTGCACAGCGCAGATGCCTGTCACACCATGGGTGGAATAGGGTGCTGCAAATCCGTGCTTGTGTCAGTGGCAGGGGTGAGCTGCACAAACATGTGCTGTCCTGTCACACGTTCTCCTCGGCAGACGCAGTGCAAAAGCTTTCTGCTTGTATTAAGAGCAAGAAATGCAGAAGCCGGGACTCCGGCGCTCGGAGAAGGTAATGGCAAGAGGCGAGCCTCCTTCGGCAGAAGCTGCTTTCCGGAGCTCTTGGCATCAGGCCAACGAATCATGTGTGACTGTGGGATGGTGCCGGTCAGCATCCAGGCGGTGGAAAGCACGAGCGCTGCTGGCAGGCGAATAAGGAAAGTGTTTAGCAGGCATCTGGCACACGAAACTTTCAGACTGCAAGTGGAACATAGCTTCCGCTCGACCGCTTGCTGAGTTGTCGCTAGTTGTCTTGTGGAAGAAGCACGGCCACGACATCCTTCTGCTGCTCCCTACTGCTGTTGCTGCTCTGTGCAACAACAATTGCGCTTTCCCTTGGACTCCCAGATGCAGAGAAATGCCCTGCACAGAGCAGAAGCCTTTCACACCGTGGGTGGAATAGGGTGCTGAAATCCGTGCTTGCGTCAGTAGCAGGAGTAAGCTGCACAAATATGTGCTGTCCTGTCACACGTTCTCCTCGGCAGATGCAGTGCAAAAGCTTTCCGCTTGCATTAAGAGCAAGAAAGGCAGAAGCCGGAGCTCTGGAGATGTGAGAATGTGAGAAGGAAGCTTGTGCACCAAACTTACGGACTGTAAGAGGAATGTAATTGCTGCTCGTCATCTTGTCGAATTGATGTTAGCTGTGGTCTGGGAAAGAGTTCAGTCGTGGCTTCCTTGTTCTGCTACCTCTTGCTGTTACTGCTCTCTGCGGGAGCTCTTGAGCTTTCTCTTAGGCTCTGAGATGCACAGAAATGCCCTGTGGAGCACAGAAGGCTGCCGAACCAAGTGTAGAAGAGAGGGCTGCAAATCCGTGTTCGCGCAAGTAGCAGGGGTCAGCTCCGGCCAATATGTGTTATCCTGGCGCACGTTCTCTTTGCCAGAAGCCCTGGAAGAGCTTCCCGCTTGCATGAAGACCAAGAAAAGCAGAAGCCGGAGCTCCGGAGATGTGGGAATGTAACAGCAAGAGGTCATCCTCTTTCAGTGGATGCAGTGCTCGGGAGCACTTGGCAGCCGGCTGAACAAACCATGTGTGTGAGAAAACGTCGGTTCGCGTCCGGCCACTCGAAAGCGCGAGCACCTCGAGGGGGCAAAGAAGGAAGGCGCTTAGCAGCTGGCTTGGACTTCTTTTGAGATGACATTGGAAATGCCATCCATTTGGAACAAGAAAGCTCTGCTAAGGACAAAGGCCTATGCTTTACAGTGCACACATTCATCTTTCTCTTATTTTCTAATCTTATACCTAAATCTGCTTTATCTGTTAAATCCAAACTCAGCTGTATTCTCTCTTCATTAAAACCACCCAGCAGTGTATCTGTAACAATCAGGAGCTCACTTCATAGTGCTGCTTTTTGCTATTTTCACTCCAAAGTGATTTTATAGCCTCTTTTCTACAGAAGCTTTTGCTGCTCCTCTGGATCCCTAAGTGATGCAAACACTCTTCTTGGACTCTGTCAACCAAAAGCACTTTCTGAGTGCCTGCATTCATTACCTGAGGAAAATAAGTTATGCATGTAACAGTGGAGCCTTCTTAAGTGAATCCCTATGTTTCTTTGGCAATAGACTTCTTAGAAAGGTCTGGTGCAGCAAATAATATGTACTCTCCACTAATGACTTTTTTAACATTAGTTAAGGCCGCAGTCTGGTGATTCTTATGAAAGCAGAATAGCAGTGTAAATAATATATATAAGAGCACATCCTATTGAAGTTGTGATCATCTTCTGGGTGTCAGCCATGTGTATTATTAGTCTATGCAGAACTGTCAAGCAGTAAGGAAAGAAAATATCACATTGCAAAACTATCTCTAATGCACTCAGCTGTCTCCATCAGCATTGTTTTGACTTATTTCAAAAACATTTACTCTCACTTTGATATTTTGACTCCTTAGCTTAAGTAAATCCTTGTGAACATACCACAGAATGGAATACTGCTATGCTTCCTCCTCTTTTTCATCTTCATCTTTCCTATCCCCTCAC